ATATACACACACACACACACACACACACACATACATATATATATATATATATATATATATATATATCTGTATATATCTATCTCTATATATATATATGTATATATACATACATATACATACATATATACATATATATATATATATATATATATATATATATATATATATATATATATATATATATATATATATATATATATATATATATATATATATATATATATATATATATATATATATATATATATATATATATATATATATATATAGTGGTGGGTCGTTATTGCCGTTAACGTTCTGCGTTAACGCAAGACTCTTATTGAGCGATAAAAAAATATCGTCGTTAATCTATTCTAAAAGTTATATTAATGCTCTGTGTGGATTGTCAGTCTGTGTTTTATTCCAATTGGCCTGTTTTTCATCTGGATTAATGCACTCATAGATTTGCATGAGAATGACAAAACAAAGATAATTGAGGCTCACAGTATGCCATTTCCACATACTAAATTCTTATTATTCAGGCATGTCTAGGCTTATTCAGATTTTTATCCTATGGCTACCCAATTACCCAATTGGCACAGCACAGGATATGATGCAAGGCAGAGATGTGATGCAGATTATAGCTTTTTCTCTGATTCCCTTAACAGTGGAGAATGCCTGTCTTTCTGCTCCATGTGAGAATGGAGGAACATGTGTTGAAGATCCATCAGGTTTCAGCTGTCGGTGTTCGCCGGGGTGGACAGGACCCTCCTGTGCCTCTGGTAGTTAAACACGCATACACGCACACACACACACACACACACACATACACACACACACACACACACGCACACACACACACACACACACACACACACACACACACACACACACACACACAGACACACACACACACACACACCTGCAATCAGCTCCAATCAAAGGCAGCTGCTATTCCTGTACTGCTGTAGCCAATTTAAGTCAAAATTACTCAGACAAAAAATACTGCTTAACTGAAGAACAAACAATCAGCAATCACATAAGGACATGTAGGATGTAGAGATCTAGGTTGAACAGGCTGTAAGAGCTATAGGAGACTGTTGCAGTATTTTTACATGTTTTCTGCAGTTGAAAGTTGGGGATCAGTGAATCAGTACCAACACTAATGTATTTTAAAAATGAGTTTAAACTGGTGATTTTTTTCCTTAAATATAAAAAAGACTAGGTGGTACATTTTTGTTTAGCATGCAAGGAACATTGCAATGTAAAAAGGGATTTACTGAATTTACCTAAAAAGTGAGTAAACCTGCTGCTTCAAATAATTACTAAACGTACAATAATTCTAAAAATGAAGTTAAATCAATTTAAAGCCCAATCCCAATTCTACCCCCTTAGCCCTTCCCCTTACCCCTACCCCTCGTTTTGCGCGTTCACATCAAGGGGTAGGGGTGTCGTAATTCTCTTTCGCTTGAAGACGTAGGGCTAAGGGGAAGGTGTAAATAGCCCTTCGAACTAAGATCAGGATTTTTTGTCATTATTACGAATTTTTACGACAAACATATTTTTTTATTTATTCATAACCGTGTTCATGTTTTATGGTCATGTTTTAAAATAAAACCCATCCATAATCATAACTCCTGTATAGCAGTCCCACAACATTCTGACACTCAATGACACTCGAATACCCTGTCAGAAGTGTCTAGTGGCTGAGAATGAGCTTTTTACAGTGTCTGCTATAATGTTAGTGTTGTTTTCGTGTGTTTACATTAATGAATATGGCCACTGTGTAAATGCACAGTACTGATCTTATTGCACATTCGATCGTTATGATGACATAATATATGCCTTCAGTGATTTCCTGAAGATAAATACCCAAAAATAGCACAACTGGAATAACCACAGCAGTCGCGATCATCTGATCTCACATGAAGCATGAGATGGCCATGACATATGATGACGTGTGCAGGTGCTATAGTGCTGTCCCAATTCTTAGGGGTATATTTTGAAGCCCTTCCCCTTAACCCTCGGTTGTAAGGGCCAAGGGGAAGGGCTAGGGGTTCAAAAATAGAATTGGGATTGGGCCTAACAGTTACAAATGTTACAACAGTTTAAGTTACAAGAACCATGTTTTCTGATGAAGACCATGTCATTTGAGGAAGATTTTGTTTACAAGATACAGCATGTCTGTCTATGGCCTCTCTCACCTATTACAAGATATACTGTAACCCAATATGTAACTGCTTTATCTTTGTTATGAAATCTTTAACATTGCTTAAATGTAGCAGCCTTTCTGATTTCAGTAAATATTGGTAAAAAAGTGCCTTTAAATAAAATCAATTAAATACTTAAAAATAATTTGAGCTTCAGCCTGGTTTAATAGCCTTTGTATATATGTACAAATTAAGCTGTAAAAAATAGTTCAACCATTTAAATGCAATGGATTTTTTAAGGATATCAGAAAAAAAAATCCCAGGCAAAACCCTCACTTAAATTGACATACATCTTCAAAACCATTCAATGTGTGAATTTAAAACCATTCAATGTATGAATTTAAATAGGGTATCACTTTAAATTGTAGAGTCTCCTCTTTCCATTAGTGCCAACATCTCAATTTTGAAACTTGGGTCACTGTGACTGATTTTGATGGATCAGGTCACATATATACCGTATGAGCACTATCATACGAGTGCATAAAGTGTGAGATAGATAGAATGAATGGCAGTGAAAATAGATGATGAGACATGACTGAAATGACAAGTTGTTTTCATCTACAGCAGTGCAGCAGTGTGACTCCAGTCCTTGCGGTCGTGGAGCCACATGTCAAGAGACGCCTGAAGGTTTCCAGTGTCTTTGTCCTCCCTTTTGGACTGGCAGAACCTGCCAGCTTGGTAAGTACAAAAGCAACACTCTCACTTCACCCGTCTTGAGCCGTCCATACATGCCCACACTTGCCTTACCTGGCCTTACGCTCGTACCCATCCACCACCTCACCTGCTGTAACCTGCCTCTACCTGCCTAAACATGTCATAGACCGTCCTTTACCTGCGAACAATGTGAACACCTGTTCTGTCTTGTTTATGCTTGGGACTGCCGCACTCTCAGGGACTAGTAATGCTTCAAGGAATTAAACATAAGAAGCCATAAAAAAAATGAAACAACCACTATGTTCGCTGTCTGAAACCACCAAATCACAGTAAACAAATCCAGAGATGGGAAACTCTGATGGAAGTAAAAACATCCTGTGTTTAAAAATTCTATATCAGCACAAGCCACATTGAAACTGTTCATCAGCATCATTGCTCCACGACCATTATCCGGTAACCCACATCAGACAATTTCATGCTAGAGTGTGCAGTGTATTTAATTGCTGAACGGCGTGGACCTGTGGTTGGATCCATCAGTGATGTTGTTGATGCTGGGAGAGTCTCTTTTACACTCCACTGGCCCTGAGGCTCGGATCAGCTGAGGGTCTCTGGAGTGAATCAGTCTCTCTAGACTCCTGACACTCTGTGAAATGCAGTCGTGTGTCACAGTGACACCTCAGAAAACAGCCGCTAGCGTCAGCACAGAGGCATCTGTCTTTGATGGCGAGATATGGGTTTTAACCAGTGCAGAAATGGCGTAGGCAGAATAAACATTTTCTGATTGAGACAGATATTTAAGAGATAGTGCTTTCCTGCCATTAATAAGTTATTACAGCAATTTGTGTTTGAGGTATAGTACAGTAAGTGAAACCCTAATGCATGTCCTGAATGAGTTATAAGACTTTTGGATTTTACTGGAGCGAAATATAAGATGATGAGAAAAGTGTAGATGAAAAAAGTGTTGCATTCAAAATTGAAGAGTTAGTGGCAGTGGCGCCCACAGAAAATGTTCTTAGGGGTGGCCAAAAGAGGCCACACCAAATCTTGGGGTGGCACACAAAAAAATCAATGAATTCAGTATAATGTTAGTTATTTTTGTTTCTGGTAAATGAAATAATGTGGTTTTAATTCATTTAATTAATTACTCTTGAAATACTGCAATTTATTCCTTGAAATAATTCAGCAAGTACATGTGCAAAAATAAAAAGTCAACATTTAGTTTAAAAACACTTTACATAAATATATAAACAACTTCAGTTATTTTTATTGTACAGCATACAGTATGCCATGTCTAAAATTAATGAAGATTAATGAGTTAATTAATAAAACAAATGAACAAACTGGACAAAAGGCATTACTATATACACACACACCCTCACTATAGAGACTCTTATAATACCAATTATCCATATTCCTTTTTGAGTCACAATCTTATTAATACAGCTTCTTCTATTGATGTACCTTAAGGTAAATATTAAATTGCCATTGGTGTCTATTGAAGGTGTGTGCGTGCTATCAATGATGATCGGGGAGGGCAGTGGTGGTTCTAGTTTAAATGACACCCTGGGCGAACCACCCCAATTTATTTATATTTATTTTAAATAAATACAATTATTATTAATATTTTTATACAACTATTATTCAAAATAATTTGCAGAAATCAGTCCTAAATGTTACTGGAAAATAATGTAACAGCTGCAGATCGCTTAAGAAATATTTTGCATGGATATTAGTTATGACAATTTTATAGAATACAAAAAAATGTTTTATAGAATTATCTGTGTTCTAAGACCCGACATTTGACCGAGAATTAATGTTGTGAAGTCTTAGCCCCCTGACTCATTATTCCTCCTTTCTGCTTCATAGCCATGCTTAGTGAAAGTAATATCATCATCATATTATATAAACTTTAGTTTTATCGGCTTGCAAAATTCGCTGCGTACCGACACCTCTGCACAAAAGGCTGTTACTCCGGTTTTATGGCACATGAGCGGCGAGTATTTTAACGGCGTGCATGCAAACAACCGGGATTTATACAGAAGCGCTTGAGACACACGGGAATGGATTCTCTGCGCATGCGTCAGTTTGCTTTCACCAGGGTTGTTTCGTTACACATAGAGAACACGTACAAAAGATGCCAACTGTGATCGATCCCTGATGTCTTTATTCTGGGAGTGCCACTCTAAATTAATACACTTAAATAAAATAAATCGTATCCCAATGCTTTTACTAGGGGATTTTTTGCCACTGTCTCCACATGCTGCCCCTAGCAAGAGGATTGGGCGATCGTCCCCATGCCTAAATCCGCCACTGGGGGAGACGGAGATGCAGTGAATCAGCCAAGTCAGTGGCACCAACAATAATTTAGTGACTGCATTTTATTTATTTATTGAAATATTGGGAATTTACATAAGTACATTTAAATTAATAATATCAACAGCAAATTCATATTGAGGTGGCCACAAGGGTGTTCACAGAGGAGAGCCAAGAGGTGGCCACCCCTTGGGGGCGTCCCTCGTTAGTGGCTGATCACACCAAACATGCTTTTTTGTTCTGAGAGCACAAGGTGCCAAACACACAATTTAGCTCCATTGAGTGCATTGTGTCTGACATTGCATGTCTGAGATATGCAGTCTCAGCTTGCATATCCTAGTGTACATCCAGATGCTATTGGTCATCTCTGTTGCCAGAATGACTTCATTTTAGAACTCTTTTTTCCGATCAGCTATCAGACTTTTAAATTGATAACCAGTTGACATAAGCAGTTTTATTTATTGCTCAGTAGCACACTATATTCTCCCTCCCAGTTTGCACTATTAATTCATACAATTGCACTCAATCTGCTCTGGCTATTATACTGTCGTTTGCACATAAGCCAGTTGCTCCAGGCACTTTTTTGTATAATAAAGACAATTTTAAGAAGTATTATACATTGTTTACATCTGTTTACATTACTCCACAATCAGTATTATATGTTATTTACATTCACACAGACAGGGAAACGTGTTTCCTTACTGTAAACATGACAATTAACACATTGAATTGAACTGAATGGAATGAAATTGAATTGAATTTCAGGCCTGATGCTTTTTAATAATATTGTGATATTCATGATTTGGGAAGTCATAGAGCTCTGGATAAATTGAAATAGCAACCACAAATTTTTTCTTCAACATTAAAAGTCTCCATAGACATATTGACAACACAAATACTTGTCACCTCAATGAAAACCCCACATCTGCTTTCATTTGATTTGACATAGAATGCTTTTATTTTGCTCAGAGTTGAAGTTTTTTCAGCTGCATGCGCACAGAGCACCATAGAATGAACACGAGGCCCAACAGCTGGTTTAAACTTTACACAGGCTGTATAAGCAGAGCAAAAAACACTTGCGGCCATTAGAGAATCATTTTTTTTAAAAAGGCACCTAGTCGCCAAGAGCATGTTTAGTGTGATTGGTCTCTTACACAACTTAACTTTGGCTTACTTGCTTTTTTTATCAGGGCTTGCCATTGGAAAATGATCCCTGTTGATCTGGATTTGAATTATGTGTGTGTATTTTATACTATATATCTTGAAAATGCACAGCTTTGGAAAAAAAGAAGCATTTTTTCATTCTCTGTATTCAAGTGGTAAAAATACTAACATCTGACAGAATACCATGCATTTGTTTAAAAGAAGTGGATTGGTTCTTTATTTAAATCAATAATTTTCCTAGCAGAAAATGTTCTGAGGGCTGTCAAATGTAAGTGAAAGCCATCAGTCAATTCTAATTTCTAAAAATGTATTCATCCTTTAAATTTAGCAGAAATGCTCACTATTTTGTTTTTGCTTCAAATTAGCATCAACTTTGCTGCTTATAAATAGTTAGTGTGGCAGTTGTTATGTGTAGGTATTGGGAAGGATTAAAAAATGTAGATTATAACCGTGCAGAATAATTATTTGCAGACTCTTTGCGGAGGTTTAACTTGTGATGTATATGACAGAGCAGTGCGTGCTTCTTTACAAAGCTGTCTGGAAAGTAAACACTTCAAAAGGATCAGAGCATATGATGAGCCCTTCAGAATGCAATGCAAGGATTTTTTTTCTTGAAGTCTTTAATATTGGCAGTCCAGTCAAACAAGAAAGATGTTAAATTTGTAGCAGATTTTAGTTCTGCTTCATTAATCACACATTGGAAATGGATTGTAGGTCAAGTTAAATGTGGCATTATCCATTATTAATATGCTGCAAGTTTTGGCAAATATTGAAGATCGACTGGGTATTAGATTTATGAAATTTGCATACTATACAAATTATACACATTATACATATATCTACAGTTGAAGGCAAAATGATTACCATTGCCACCCATAAAATGGCCACATCCTGTTTATTTTTTCCAACACATTTAAGCATAATAGTCTTAAAAACTAATATAGTTTGTCTTTTCCATGAGGACACTACATAGTGTACTATTTATAAGATACTGGTAGTCAGCTTAAATAGGATAATTAGGTTACCTACACAGGTTGGGTTAATTAGACAAGGCTTTGGACAACTGTGGTTTGTTCTGTAGGGCCCCAATAATACTAACCTTTCCATTTTAACATTTTTATTCCAGCCAAACTAAAAGAAACAAGATTTTCTCCTGAGGAAAAAAAAAAAAAAAAAAATATATATATATATATATATATATATATATATATATATATATATATATATATATATATATATATATATATATATATATATATATATATATATATATATATATATATATATATATATATATATATATATATATATATATATATATATATATATATGTATATATATATATGTATATATATATATAAATGTATC